TCAGATAGCTGGGGAAATATTTTCCACTTGCATTTGAGGACAAGATTTCAAAAGCATCTCGACTAATTTCTCTATTAGCCAGGTTCACCCCAAATGCCACTCACATTGAATCGTGAGCCAAATAGGCCATTATTCAGTGACGAAATTTAAATCAAACATAATTTGTACCCAATAATGCACATAATCTGAGCTCACAGAAGCAATTGACTTTCTATTCCATTTGTAGTGTCTGCTGCAGCTCAAGATCATTTCTTTTTATGTATTTTCATCATACTTAGGCTCAAGCACTAACACTCCACCAACACCACCACTCGATCCTCTCTCCCTTGCCATTTCTGATGGAAATGAAAGATTCGATCCTTTGTCTTTTCCAAGTCCAGAGTACATTCCTTTTTCTTCTTGAAAACAAGAAACCACAGATGTTTCAGTCAAAGATCTGTGATTAAAATCATTTCTGCAATTGAGACATGATGCCAAAAGCAAAAACACATTCTTAATGCATTGTTTGCCTGGAAAAATAAACTGCATTACAGGGAGGAATGTAGAGCAAGGTAATCACAGAAACCCCGAGGCATAATCCAGTTAAACTCCTTGACCTGCATCAAATGTTGACAATTCTAACTTCTCTGTTCCCAGAGAACTTTCTGGGACACATTTTTAACACTGCTTAAAAGTCCTGCCACCTAGTGGAAGAAGTAAATAAACTAGACCAGGTAACCTACAGGATGGAGAGATCTGGAGAAAAGTAGCACTCTATCAACAGCACTTCACTTAAAAAATCATACTGTGTTGGCTTTAGGCCTGCTTTTCATAAAGTGTCCAGATTCACCAGAATGGGTTGTTTTATTTTTCCTTGTCCAAATGCATCACATTCAAAACTGGAAAGACATGAGTTCCAGCCTCAGAACCATAGGTGGAGTCTACAAATAGCTTTTGGTAATGGTTCTGTTAATCTGCTTTGGTTGACAGTTTTCAAAATGGATTCCACAGGGTTAAGAAATAAACCAAATCCATTCCAGCTTTCCCTGGTGGAGGGTACTCCACGAGGCATTTAATCCTCCAAAAGCTCAGCAGGAGGACTCTTTATAAAAGGGATTTCTTCAGTTGGCTAAGGGAAAATATCCTGCCTGAACAGGAAGGTAGATCATTAGTGGCCAGACCTCACAGATAGCCACTAAGTTTCTGAGAAAACTTCCTGATGAGTCATGCTGAAAAGGAACCCTCCAGAAAGGCTTTGAGCAAAGCACTATTCCTGAGTAAGATCTACAAAGCAAGCTTGCCCAGCAATATCAACAGATGTGCTATGACAGCAACCACTTCCTCAGTGACTTAAAGGGGTGAACTTGCCCTCCTACCTTCCTGGCAAAGACACAGGAGCTCTGTGCTGAGCAAGATCAGAAATAGTGTGAGATGAATGCACACTGCAACAGACAAGCCTCTGTGACAGCCACTCTGTGAGAGCCATGTACCATGTGCCAGGCCTAGTTTAGATTCTTCTTTGTCCATGATTTGATGCAAATGCTATCAGGCAAACACCTATAGTGCCTTCTAAAGGTCCAGGACTATTCAGAGGGAAATATTTGCTTTTAGTAAGAAAATTATGATTCTAGACTCCTTTAGTTATAGCTTTAATTCTATCTCCTATCTCTGGGATAAGTGATGTACTGGCAAACACTGTGGATAAATGATCTACCAGGGAACACTAGTGAAGTTTAAATTAATTTGTATAAAATACTTGAAGAGGAGTTATGAAAGACAATCTTACCCACTTTATATTCGAGAATTATGTTCTCTGACTTTTTCCAAACTTTACAATATTTGTTCAGTTTTAAAATAAACATCATTGTTTACAGACCCAGATTTGATCTAAAAAAGAATTTATTTCATAATTTAAGACTGAAGTGCTTTTCATAATTTGATTATTAGTATTGCTATATTCAGGAAGGGCTCTCCATCATTCTTACAGAAAAGAATTAATTTTTTTTCAGTTTTAAAAACAAGAGAACCTTTAAAACTGGTTCAAAAATAAAAGAATGTGAAATATTTTTTTGTAACAAGGAGCAATTATTGTTCTATTATTTTATCGGCAATTTCTAGTGACTTTCATAGTCACTCATATGCTTATATAGAATCCATCATGTACTCTACAAAAAATATGAAGGAGAGTCCTTCAGTGTAAAATTAAAGGATGCTAGGCAGTAACTCAAATCTACATGAAGAAAAATGTAAAGGTAACTGTGTAAGAGTCAGGATAAATAAAATTTTGTTTGTAACTCATTTTTTCCTGCTGATTTAAAAGACAATGGCATCAAACAACAGGGCATCAAAATACATGAAGCAACAACAGGCAGGTATAAGGGAGACACTGACAATTTGACAACAATAGTAGGGAACTCCAACAATACTTGGAGCTTCAAAATACTCTACTTTCAATATAGAACAACTAGACAGAAGAGCAACAATTAAATAGAAGACTTCAACACGACTGTAATTCACTACACCTAACAGAGATCTATGGAACATTCTATACAACTACAGTAGAATATGCCTTGTCCTCAAGTGTATGTGATTCTCCAGGGTAGATTTTGCATTAGGACATAATACAAATATCATTAAATTTAAAAGGATTGAAATCATGCAAAATATTTTTCCAGCCACAGGAATGAAGTCAGAAATCAAAAACAGAAGGACACTTGAAAAACACACAAATATGTAAAAATGAAATAACACATTTTTTAAAAAAAATCAATGTTTCAGAGAAACTATCACAGAAGAATTAGAAAATGCCTTGAGATGAATAAACTTAAAACACAACATACCAAAACTTATGGCATGCAGTTACAGGGAAATGTATAGCTCTAAATGCCTGAGTTAAGAAGATAGACCTCAAATCAACAATCTATACTTCCACCTTAAGAATAAAAAATTGAGGGCAAAGAAAGTCTCCATTTTTTTGTGACAATAACAATCCTATCCTAAAATTTATATTAAAATGCCAGGGACTCAGAACAGCCAAAATAATTGTGTAAAAAAACAAAGATCAAGGACTCACCCTTCCCAATTTCAAAAATTACTATAAAGCTACAGTAACCAGGAGACTGTGTGATACTAGCATAAGACGGTATAGAGATCAATGATAAAAATGGGAGTCCAGAAATAAACTCACATGTCTATAGTCAATTGATTTAGACAAAGGTGTCAAGACCATTCAGTGTGGGAAAATAATAATCTTTTTAACAACAGTATCTGGAATACTTTAAAAAAAAACTCATAATAAACGGTAAATAGGCAAATAATCCTACTGAAAATAAAGAAAAGATTTGAATAGATACTTCTCCAAATACATTATTGAAAGATGATCAACATCATCAGTCATTAGAAATGTGCAAATAAAAACTATCATTTGAGATACCACTTAACATAAGATACCACTTAACACTCACTAGGATAACTGTAATTAAAGAGGCTGACAATACAAGTGTTAATGAGGATGTAGACTATTAAAAAATTCATGAACATGGCTGGTAGGTATGTAAAATAGTGCAACCTCTGTGGAAAACTGCTCGGCACTTACTCAAAAAGTTAAACATAGATTGAAGAGGAAATGAAAATGGCCAACAGACATATGAAAAAATGTTCAACATCACTTGTAATCAGGGAAATGCAAATCAAAACTACCATGAGATACCATCTCACACCAGTGAGAATGGCACATATTAAAAAAACTAGCAACAACAAATGTTGGCGAGGATGTGGAGAAAAAGGAACTCTTGTGCACTGTTGGTGGGAGTGCAAACTGGTCCAACCACTATGGAGAGCTGTGTGGAGATTTCTGGACCTACTAAACATAGAGCTTCCATAGGATCCAGCAATTCCACTCCTAGGTATTTACCCAAAGGACACAGAAACATCAATTCCAAAGAGCACCTGCACTCCTATGTTTATAGCAGCACTGTTTACAATAGCTAAGCTTTGGAAACAACCCAAATGCCCAAAAATAGATGACTGGATCAAGAAGATGTGGTACATATATACCATGGAATATTACTCAGCATTCAAAAAAGATAAACACATGCAATTTGCAGCAACATGGATGGCACTGGAAGGGATCATGCTCAGCGAAATAAGCCAAAAAGAAAAAGAAAAATACCGGATGGTCTCACTCATAGCAGGAATCTAGAAAACTTAAATAAGGGACCAGGAAAATGAATATAAGAAAGTGAAAATCAAAATCAACAAAAAAACTATGAACCAGAGACACTTTTTGGGGGGTGGGGGGCGGGAGGGGAAGGATTGGGGTCAGAATGGGGCGTTTGCAATTGTATGGGGGAATATAAAAATAAAATTTAATATTTAAAAAAAAAAAAAAAAAACATAGATTACCATATGCCCTAGCAATGCACCTCTTAGATAGTGACCCAAGACAACTGAAAACATATATGCTCACACAGAAACATGGACACAAATATTCACAGCATGCAGTGAATATAAATTGCAGATATAAATTTTAGGATGACTATTCATAAAAGCCAAAAAATGTAAACAACACAAAATTCTATTGCCTGATGAGTGGATAAACAAAATGTGGGTCAGCACATAACGTAGAAATAAATTTCTGTTATATAAGGTATCCAATGTATAGTATTCTATCATGGCAACCTAGGTTAAAACAAATGATAACTTCTATGTTATGTATATTTTACCATAATTTAAAAATAAGAATTAATATCTTTAAAATATGAGGGAGAAAAATGAACATAAAACATGATTTACAAATATCTTTATTGGTAAAAAGTTGAGCCCTTCCAGTTAAAAATAACAAAAACCCCAATCAAATAATTTCAGCAAACAAAGGGAACTGATGGACACATCTCACTGTGCAACTCCAGCCTGGGTTCTGGGCATGAAAAGCATATACCTTGTCCCATGTGCCCTCTCGTGCTCAGCTTTCCTGGATGACTACTTCAACCTCAGGATCCTCACCTGAGGTGAGAGATTGCTCTGGTAGCTTACAGCTCCTTGGGCTTTGGAGCTAGAAATCCCGAGGTAAAGAGGATATTCTGTGCTTACAGAGGTTCTGGAGAAGACTCTATTGGCCTGCCTGGTATTTGTGAGCCAAAGATGGTGGCTATGCGGAGGAATCAAGCTGGTTGGTTAGCTCAGGCCAGCTCTGTAGATGTACATCACAGGTTTACTGGAGCTACAGGGTGGGTCTGTAGCAGCTGAAAGTCACAGACTAAGAATGAGGGACAGCTTCGCACAGGGACACTAGCACACAGAAAGCCCATGTTTAATGTCACACCAGCCCCCTGCTCAGATCCTCTGACCCTCCTCGTCCAAGGCAAGCTGAGTATTGACTGGAAGCTGGTGAGAGTCTCCGCTGGAAGATTCTCTCTGGCCACCAGAGCAGGAAAAGTAGGGCTACCAGAGAGGTGGAGGCCACAGGTGCAGCTCTCAACCAATAATGAAGGGGGTTGGTGGGTAAATAATCCAACTGCCTCACTCTTCAAGGGGGATCATCAGAGACACAGCCTCTATCCACCGATGGGTTGAGCCCCTGACGCCTATCATCGTAGCCTGCTTTTAAACCCAGGTTGTCTGTTCCACCTCTCCACTCCCTTGCATGACCTCCTGGAGTCACTTCCCATATCTACATATACTCCAACCCCAGTCTGGGGTTCTGATTCTATGGGAACTCAAATAAAGACGACATGTACGTGAAGGCTGGTGAATTCACACTGCTGCTTGCCTATGTCATGTGAAAAACTTGGAGGGGCTTTTGGTTCCATTTCTGTTTTCTTTACAACACTCAGTATTTGCCTAATATCCCACTTACACAGGGAGAACGTATTTCTTTATCCAAAAAAAATATATCCAGGTGTATGTGAGTCCATTAGCTTCTCAGGTCTGCCATAACAAAGTACTGCAAAACTGGGGGCTTCAGCGGAAGAAATTTATCATCGACAGGACTGCAGGCTAGACCTCTGAGATCAAGGTGTCGACAGAGCTGGGTTCTTCAGAATCCTCTCTCCCTGCTTATAGATGGCCGCCGCCTCTCTGTGTCTTCACTGTGGCCTTCCTCTGTGTCTACCTGGTCCTAATCTAATTTTATAAGGACACCAACCATATTGGCTTAGAACCCACCCTAGGGTTTCATTTTAACGTAATTACTTCTTTAAAGGCCCTATCTCCAAATATCATTACATACCGAGGTCCTGGGCTTAGGACTTCAATACATGCATTTCAGGGGGATCCAAATCATAATGGTGAGCGTCTGTGTCTTGTGCCATTTTAGAGGAAAAATGCCTTAGAAATAGATTTCCCTACCAGCCTCCTCTTCGCAGATTTGTATGATATGTGCAGTAAAATAGTGTCCTTTCTTTAAATGTGAAGGCTTGGCATTACAGAGTGGGCCCCATTCCTCTCCCAAAAGAATTTAAAGAAAGGGTCATCAGAACCAAAGAACAACTGAGGTATTTAAACAGGAAGAAGGCTATGAGCCTCCTGAGGAACATGACCAGGTCTTCCCCACAGCCCCAACACGACGGGCAATCCAGACTACTTGTGGTCTCCACAAGGAACACCAGCCAGCCGTTCTGGTGGTCTTCGCCTCAGCACCCCTAGAGATTTGATATGATAAATCACTTGGTATCTTAAGATTCATTACACATTCATCCTCCATGACTAATGGGGACAGCAAGGGACAGTGGGTAGTACAAAGCCTTCTTCAGCCTGTCAATTCAGAGGGGAAATCACGATTGACTCTGCACGATTGGAGAAGGTGATGATAGCATGATTTATGAGCAGTGGTGCTGATGCGGCTGCAATTCAGTGTTATGCCATAAATACACCGAAAAGATGCTCTTTTCCATATCCGAGCAGTCTGGTGACAGTGTGAGCCAGGACTCAAGAAAATATTTCATTGAGGAGATGGATGCCTGTGACGACATAAACGCAGAGATCAGAGAGGCCGTGTAGTCAGTTTATAGCCTTCTCACAAGTGGCCCATCAGTTTCAGAAGGCATCTTCACTTAACGCTGCACCTTTCAGGTTTTCTTGCCAGCAATGCCATCTTTCCTTACCACTGGGAACTCTGGATCTTCTGGGCTTCCTTCCCACACAGATGTCATGGCTCAGAAAGTATGCTGAAACACAGATAGAGAGATCTTGGTGGGGGAGCCAAGCCAAGTGTGTTTGCTTCCTGGTGCCTGTCACCAGGCTGTAGGGTCTTCCCGCCTACCCCCCCTTAAACAGAACTTTCCCTCCTGGTCTTCCTGGATCTGTGGCAATCTGGGTCCTGTTTTCTTTTCCCAGATGCACTTTCAGTTGTTGCCTTTTTTCAATCAATTTCCAGATGTTGCTTATTCCTTTTATTTCCAGCACATTTTATCCTTTCCTGAACTTCTGCATAATTCCCTTCCATGCCACCTTCCTGCCCCTCCTCCATCCAATCCAGATGAATTCCAGAAACCTGCTGCAATTACACCAAATTTCCTTGGCTCATCCATGTCCCAGCTGAGTGTGCCCCAGCTCTAAAGGCTAAAGGAATGATTGGTCTACTGGAGGTGCCCCTTCTGAGTGAGCTCCCAGCTGACAGCCAGATGCTGTTGAGGTTCGGGCTGACTATTGTGTAAAAGTCTCTATAGAGAGGAAGAATGTTCGCTAAGGGCCTGAAGTCCAAACCGCAGTTTGTTTTAGAATATTTTTTTTTTTAATAATCTCTTTGTGCAAATAGCAAATCAGTAAGCCAAAAATGTTTTTTAAATTATTGTTAAACAATATAAAAATTGTAAAGTGGTCTTGCCTTTCTGTAGTACTTCTTGCATTTGGTACTATTTGAAAATGACCTCTTCCACATAAAATTAATCTTTTGGACAATTAAAACATGTATTTCAGCCCCCAAATCAACACAAGTCCTAACCATTTTTACATAAATCTTTCTAAAATAAATTGCATTTTAGAGTGCACTGATCACAACCTAATGTCTTTCTAATAATTCAGGGTCAAGGTTTTAATTATCAGCAGCCATGCCCTAAAGTTTATGAGCTGTTAGCCTGCCTTCCTTATCCCCAAGTTTCTCCACCTTAGCACTGTTGACAATTGAGCCTGGATAATATTTTGTTGTGAGCGGATGACCTGTGCATTATAGGTTGCTTAGCAGCATCCCTGGCCCATTAGGTACCAGTAGCACCACCAGTTCAGTGAAACAACCAATAACATCTCGAGGACAAAAATGTGCATCACCATTATATGTTCTCAACATAATAGATGAGGCCGAGTCAGTGAAATAAGAAAAAGAAAAGGTAAGAAGATTGGAAAGGAAGGAAATATACTGTCCCATTGTAGAAGATATGATTATATACATAGAAAATCCAAAATAACCCAGAAACCATTAGAATCAATAATCAAATTTGGAGCGTCACTAATAACAAAATTGATATACAAAAATTATATTTCTATGATATAATAAAAAACAACTAGAAAACTTTTTAATATATCTCAAAAATTAAATGACTAGAAATGAATCTAACAGATGATTTATATGAATGCAATACTGAAAACTACAATATTAAAGAGAAAGTGAAAAGACCTAAATATATTGAGAGACACAACCTATAAATGGATTGAAAGAAGTCATGATTATTAAGCTTTTGACTTCCCCCAATTCATCTGAACATCAATGAAATCTAAAGCCAAATATCAGGATTCTTTTCTTGGAAGTTTAAAAATAACTCTAAAATGTATATGGAAATCTAAAAAACTTGGAAAGATACTCTTAAAATGACCAAATATGGAGAAACAAGCAGACTGTAGGGCCAATTATAAATCTACATCAATTAAGATAGTTTGATATTGAGCCAATCATATTTAACCCACCGGTTGGTATACAGTGAAATGATTTATAAAAATTGCCATTTAAATTCTTTTAGGGAAAAGATGACCAATTAGATATCTGCTTGGGGGAAAAGTTAAGTGTGATGCTTACTTTATACCAGACACAAAAATTAATGAGTGCGCCATAGACATTAATATAAAAAGGTAAGCAAGATTTTCTTAAACAGGATGCAAAAGGCATTAACTACAAAAGAACTGAATTGTTCTTAAGAATTTACATCCACTATGGGGCCTCCCTGGTGGCGCAAGGGGTTAAGCACCGCACTATGAAGCAATCTGCAGCCTCTGCAGCACGAGTTCGATCCCTGTCCGGCCAGGGAGCAATCCACATGGCGCAGTAGACCTTTCCTGACTCGCCCGCTGCTCCCCTCAGCAGTGAATTTCAGTTCATCTGCCTGTTCTGCTCCCCACTCTGTCTCTGGTGAATCCTCTCACCCCCCGGCATCTCTGGCCTGTACCCCAGCTCTTGTGTGCATAAATGAATGAAACTTTAAAAAAATTTACATCCACCAAAAGACACTATTAAAAAAGTGAAAAGAGATCACAGAATGGGAGAAGATATCTACAACACAAAAATCCAACAAGTGACTTATATACAGAAAATAATGTTTTTAAACAATCCAAATTTAGCCACTAAAATGGCCAGATGTATTGCAAAAGAAGATGAACAAATGGCCAAAAGGCTATATGAAAAGGGTTCCTTTTATTATTAATCATCAAGAAGAGCAAACTTAAATAAAAAAGAGATAGCATCACATATTCAACAGAATGGCAAAAACTGAAAAGACTAACAATGTCAAAGATGAACAAGAAAGTAGCACAACTGGGTGCTGGTAGAAGTGTGAATTGCTTCAACCCTTTGGAAAACTGTTTGGCAGTATCTCCTAAAGTTAAATATTAATCACCCAAGACCCAAAAATTTAACTTCTAAGTATATACTCTAAGTAACAAATATAAATGTTATTAAAAAGACAGGATCAAGAATGGTCAAAGCAGCTAATAGCCCCAAATTAGAAATAGTCAAAATGTCAACAAGATCCTGAATAAGAAGTTTATAGTGGAATCATGTAATGGAATACCATATAGCAATAGAAATGCATGCAATAGAAAAGAAAAAAACTATTGCAGCAATGTGCTGGTAAACATTTAACAACTGGTTCTATGGAGAAGAAAATTCCCTGGTTGGTAGTGTTTTCTGGCTTGGTGGTACAAATACACCCAACAAGACCCCTTTCAAGTTATCAACATGAAGTCACTGAAAATAAAAATAGAAATAAATTCAGACTTGCAGCCTCGTATGAGTTGACTTCATCTCCCTGCCCCAGTGCATAACTGATGAATCTCTCAGACATGGTGTTGAGTGAAATAAGCCAGAAATAAAAGAGTACATAATGATTAGATTTTTATTAATTAAAAGAACAAGCAAACTTATTTGATGATGATAGAAATTAAGAAAGAGGTTACTGTGAGGAATTAACATGGAGAGAGAAAGCACAAAATTCTTTCTGGGATAATAGAAATGCTCTATATCTTCATTGACCTAGTGATGAGGTAGATAAATACGTAGATGACAGATTTATATAAAATTCATTAAATGTTAATTAAAATGAATGTGTTTTATATACTTTACTGTACTTGTATTACACATCAATTTTAAAAAATCAAAGCACGTACTGCCACATTGTTGAGACAGGAACTTTGTTGCCACTTTGTGGCAGGAATAGGATGAGAGACATAGCAGCCGTGGAGCAGGTTTGCAAGGCAAGACTCTGCTACTTGAGCAGAAGTTCTTGTGCCATTTATTGAAAGCACACAGGTTAGTAAGAGCTGATCATGCGACAATGGTATGAGGAATAAGGTCCAGAGGGTGGGATAGGAATGGGGGACAAAGTTTTACGAGGGACAGGAAAGGGGACAGCGTGACCATATGTCAAGAGACATTTGCATCAGCAAAGTATTTGATGTTATCACAGGCAGAGTTATCCCGAGACCACCCAGGAGATAGTCACATAATCAGGTCAACAGCAGCCTAGGCATCCCTGGGCCTGCCCCATGATATGAGCTATACTCTATAGGTAGTTAAGGAATTCCCTACTGTCATTTGTAGATAACAAATAGGTCACAGTTGCCCACAAGTGGCCAGTTAGTAGCCAGCTCATAGGAACCCACACCACATAATGGCAATTGACTAAGCACATATTTTTTGGTTCATTTTGTAACCTAATTAAAAGTTCTTTAAGGCAGGGCTCCCCAGTGGTGCAGAGGTTGAGCGCTGGGTTGCGAAGCTGCCCACAGCCTCTGCAGCGCCCATTTGATCCCCGGCCTTCGGGCGAGGGTCCCACATGGCCTGCAGATCTCTCCTGCTGCCTGCTGCTCCCCTCAGCAGTGTACTTCATCAGTCTGCCTGTTCTGTTCCCAGCTCTGGCTCTGGTGAAATCTCTCACCCTCCCACACTTCTGACTATACCCAGTGCTTGTATAAATAAATAAATAAATCTTTAAAAAAAAAAAAAAAGACATTGCTGAAAGAAATATGATTCAATGCAATAAAAAGATATTCCATGCACGTAACTGGAAGAATTAACATTGTTAATATGGCCATCTTACTCAAAGCAACATAAAGACTCAATGCAATCCCTACCAGAGTTTTGATGACATTCTACAAAGAAGTAGAACAAACATTATCGAAATTTATATGGAAACACAAAAGACCACAAATAAACAAAGCAATTCTGACCAAAAAAGATGAAGGTATCACACTACACCAGACTTCAAACTATACTGCAAAACCATAGTAATCAAAACAGTATGGTATTGGAATAAATGAATGACTGGAGTAATTATGCAAAGTGAAATAAGTCAGCAGAAAAAGACAAATATTGGATGATTTCACTTACATGTGAAACATAAAGAAAAAAACAGAACAGACAAAACAAACCCTAGAAATCTGGACAAAATGGAGGATATCAGAGGGGCAGGGTGAGTAGGGGTACCAAGAGAGGAGAAAGACATGGATTGTGGTGGAGGATTTGTTATTGGTGCTTTGGTGATAGGTGTGTTGTGGTGATATACATCTGAAGATGTGTGAACTTACATCCCTAAATCATATGCAGTGTTGTAAACTAATGTCACTTCAATTAAAAAGCAAAACAAAATAATACATGCTGTATTATTTTATTTATACATTTCTTGAAAATTAAAACTAATTTAAAGTGACAGAAAAAAGATCAATGGTTGCCAGATGATGGAAG